ACAAGGACCCATACTAAAAGGGAAGGCAGGGAAAGAATTAAGTACTACCACCACCACCACCACCACCACCACCACTTGTCTGCTGAAAATTGTAGTCTGCTGAAGTTGCTTTTTAATATTTTTCTTCAAAAACTCCAAGCTAGGGATGGGCGAATCTGTCCATTTCACTTTGTCTCCATTTCTACTTTTTCCTGCCCTAAGCTCTGTTTGCTGTAGTTATGCATCGGTTTGTGTTAAAAAGCAACAACAGAAAAGACCTCACAAAAATTATTCAGCATTTTAGTGTGCATTTCTACTAATATACATATCTTCACAGGCTGTTTTGTCTAATAAACACATTTCTGCAAGCAAATTTCCTAATATAATGCATTTTTGTACTTTATATCCATCGGTGCATGCATTTTAAAGCATACTGTCCCCACAAATACCTATTTTTGTACACATATTTTGGTTTGGGAAATGCATCATAAAATTTCAGAGATGTGCAAATTTGGAAGGATATCCAAGTTTTGGCTCACATATCATATCCGAAAGTGTGAATTAGGTATTGCAAAACAAACCAAATTTATCTCCATTCCTACTCCAAATGAATTTATTGAGTCTTTATTATACACAAAAGTGAGTTTGTTCCTAGAATGATTCCCTACGCGCCAAACTAGATATGATGATGGCAATGCATGAATGAATCTCCATCTCTTTGATGTTTCAGCAAATAGTGTTGGATGGGAGAAATGACCAGGACTGGGACTGCAGATGGATTTTGCATGTGGCGTCATCTTACCTGTCCAAACGAAGTTGGCAGACAATGCTTAATGCGTCAACAACTCCTTCTTCCTTCAGCTGATGACAACCAATTGCTGTAGCAATGAAACATCCAGTCCTTCCTATTCCAGCACTGAAAGTTAAAAAAAGAAAAAAAAGCCACATCAAAAATCAAAGGGACTAAAATGTCAGTCATTATCATCTTCCCATGGAGAAGAAGGAATGGTGAGCCACAGGGTAATCTTACTGGTTCATATTTCACCCCCCCCCACCTAGCAGAAAATATTAATGCTTGGTGAATTAGTAGATTGGCATTTTCAGGTTTCTATTCTGTAAAAACACATATGGCCCTGATTATGTTGAGGCAGGGTTTTTCTTTAAAATGGTTCTTTCGTTGGTTTTAATATATCCTTATAAACTCAGTTTGAAATCATCCCCCCCGCCCAATATTATGAGGGATGATCAGGGCCAGATTTAGGTTTGATGAGGTCATAAGCTACTGAAGGTAATGGGGCCCTTTATATGTCCAGCTGTCCTTTGTCAACAATAAATTGCCACTGTTTTTTTGTGTTGAATATATGGTAATTTATGGACCTAATAGGTATCTAAAGCCATTTGCATATGTTGCCATGCAACCAGTCCATGCAGAATGTAGGTACCCTATATATAGAAATGAGCAAACCAGTAATATTTTAGGGAGCAGGCTAGCAGGCGGGGCCCATTACTTACATCATAGGAGCCTACACAAAACAAATGCTGTATGTAGGTTTTATTTTATTTGTTTTTATCTTATATTTTGGAAATGTACCTCCAGGTTTTTTCCCCTTTGATTTTTTGGGGGACCCCCAAGAGAATGGGGCCCTAATCTATAGCTTGCTTAGCTTATGCGTAAATCTGGCACTGGGATGATCTTGCCTTCTAGTCATACAAGACTATAGTGTTTGAAATCATAAAAAAGAGGAAAATTGTTTTCCAAAAAGAGGAGCAGAATTTAGACACTGTTAACACTGACAAGGAGTGACACATGTGCCATTTCCTCAAAGCATGAAAGGTGTGCTTCAATCTGCCAATTTCCCTCCTGGTTTTCTAGCTTTGCTTATGTTTCAGTTTGCTCCTTTCATAACTGAGCAGCGATCCACAGCACAAAATTGTAATGGTTTCCTGCCCCAGCATGGTGGGAATGTGCAATTGCACATTTCTCTGCTTTATTAAAAATTAGCATATAGAGATATGCTGAGGGGAAAGTTGAGGCAATACCTTGGCAGAACAGCAACGGTGTAAAGGTAAACACATTTCTGCGACTGCAATTCTAATTCAGTAGAAATGTTGTTAGCTACATTGGGATGGGGATAACCAGTACAAGCTTTCTATCTTCCTATCAAGTGGTATCAGGAAAATGAGAAGATGGCAGCAAACAGTGACTTTACATAGTGATTTGGTTTCTGAATCCCCCCCAGCACCCCTATAGAAATTCTGCTTCACTGAATTTGCAAGAGAAACAACTTTTTAAAAAGAAAGAAAGAAAGAAAGAAAGCAAATTACCTGCAATGCACAATTACAGGTCCTCTACCAACGGATCCCACCCTGTCCTCTTCAACATCCAGCATGAGCTGTAGAAGGGGCTGAGCACTATCTGGAGTTTTGTGGTCTGGCCAGGATGTGTACCAGTAATGTTTGACATGTCTTGAAAGGCTTCCTTGCTGAAAATAAACGTGTACACTGGTGATGAACCACGAATAGTGCTTTCTTAATTGTATTGCTCATTAAAAGAAGACACAAGCAGATATGGTAAGAAGAAGAAGAGTTTGAATTTGATATCCCGCCTTTCACTCCCTTTAAGGAGTCTCAAAGTGGCTAACATTCTCCTTTCCCTTCCTCCCCCACAACAAACACTCTGTGAGGTGAGTGGGGCTGAGAGACTTCAGAGAAGTGTGACTTGCCCAAGGTCACCCAGCAGCTGCATGTGGAGGAGCGGAGACGTGAACCCGGTTCCCCAGATTACGAGACTACCGCTCTTAACCATTACACCACACTGGCTCACCACTGGTAGGAGACAATAAATGACCAGAACTTGTATTACCTTTAATGTAAGGTTACGGACAGTGTAATTCTCACATTCTTGCACACTGTTAACAAGAACTTCCACTTTTCCATATATCCCTCTCTTCTCCGGCCAATAGAGCACACATTTCTGGAAAAGAGAAATTTTAAAATGCTTGATTAAAAACAAACAAACCCTGTTTTGCTTGATAGTGGCGATGGAATAACTCCCTTGTTAGAACTGCTAATATTTCAATGTAATTTTTAATATAAATGCCAATATTTCCAATATTGTCCTTATTTCCGATGGGCAGTTCCATTTTCTGGAACCTGACCCTGTTTTGTCCCCTCTTTGCCTTTTGGGGAGATGTTGCAGGTGACTTTTTAAAAATGTCATTTGAGTTCAATGGTACTTACCTTAAGGTAGGGTTTTGTTTGTTTGTTTGTGGTGTATGTGTATCTTGTCTCCAGCCCACACCTACATAAAATGCATGTGCAGACACACTACAGCACACCTAGAGCACATACTAGCATTTCACACCTTAGTGAGACTCACTTTGAATTTTTGGAAACAGATTTTATGACAATTCATGTTCTCCACCCTCTACACACCTTTAATCGAGACTTTCCCATCCTTTGGTCTCCAGATGTTGTTGACCTACAACTCCCATCATAGCCAGTGCTGAGAGGTGATGGGGGTTGAGGTCCAACAACACCTGGAGGGCAATCCAGTGATCCAAGCCAATGGTTTATGATGCCAGAAAAAATAGTCAATCATGGCCTTTCCCTGTGAACTTTAGATGCAAACCTTGAATTCAAATGCATGTGCATATATTCAGAACACATTTTAATTACTTTGCAAATTTATTACAATTGCCTTTACACGCCTTGTTTTGTGAATAGATAACAGAAGGTGGTGGTGGGGGAACCAACATACAATTTGTGAAAAAGAAATGTTACAGATCAGAAATAGGAGCTCTGCATGTTCAAAATTCATTTAGCTAATACATAGAATATTGCCTGACTTCTTTTCCATTGAGTTTTCATAAACGTCCAGTTTCCCCACACATTCTTCAGCTGTTAGCAGCTTCTTCTTCTTTAACTGCCTACATGTTTTTAAAAGCCCCATTATTATACCAGTGCCTATGAAATTATTTTATTTAAATCTCATGCTGCACATAAATGTCTTGATTAAAAACCAATTGCTATATTAAGGCTGCAATCCTCTCCGCATGGAACTGGAAGTAAGTCCTATTATAAAAAAGAGACTAAGCATGACTCTTTCTAAAAAATAAATTATGTGGCAGGTGGAGCTGTGGGTTAAACCACAGAGCCTAGGGCTTGCCAATCAGAAGGTTGGCGGTTTGAATCCCCGCGATGGGGTGAGCTCCCGTTGCTCGCTCCCTGCTCCTGCCGACCGAGCAGTTTGAAAGCACGTCAAAGTGCAAGCAGATAAATAGGTACCACTCTGGCGAGAAGGTAAACGGTGTTTCCGTGCGCTGCTCTGGTTCGCCAGGAGTGGCTTAGTCATGCTGGCCTCATGACCTGGAAGCTGTATGCCGGCTCCCTCGACCAATAAAGTGAGATGAGCGCCGCAACCCCAGAGTCAGTCATGACTGGACCTAATGGTCAGGGGTCCCTTTACCTTTACAGTGCAATTCTATATTGACTATTTAGAAATAAGTCCTACTGAGTTCAGGTGAGGTTAAAAAGGTAAAGGAAAAGGTACCCCTGCCCGTACAGGCCGGTCTTGACAGACTCTAGGGTTGTGCGCTCATCTCACTCTAGAGGCCGGGAGCCAGTGCTGTCCGCAGACGCTTCCGGGTCACGTGGCCAGCGTGACGAAGCTGCTCTAGCGAACCGGCACCAGAGCAGCACACGGAAACGCCGTTTACCTTCCCACTATAAAGCGGTACCTATTTATCTACTTGCACTTAAGGGTGCTTTCGAACTGCTAGGTGGGCAGGAGCTGGGACCGAACGACGGGAGCTCACCCTGCCGCGGGGATTCGAACCGCCGTCCATGCGATCAGCAAGTCCTAGGCGCTGAGGTTTTACCCACAGCGCCACCCACGTCCTACTCTTAGGTAAATGTGTATAGGATTGCAGCCTAAAAGACTAATTTTTTTAACTTTGTATTCTTATTACAGGTAGGTAGCCGTGTTGGTCTGCCGTAGTTGAAACAAAATAAAAAAATTCCTTCCAGTAGCACCTTAGAGACCAACTAAGTTTGTTATTGGTATGAGCTTTCAGATCTGAAGAAGTGTGCATGAACACGAAAGCTCATACTAATAACAAACTTAGTTGGTCTCTAAGGTGCTACTGGAAGGAATTCTTTTATTTTTTATTCTTATGTGCATGAAAATACTTTTTACCCACTGTTGCTGTATGCACCTCTTTTTTAAAACAAACACACACTTAAGTTTTTGAAAAAGCTGAGAAACTTCTCGCTAATTTTGTGCCTCCTGAGTGTCCCCTGAAAAGATTGTCCTAGGGAACCCCAGTTACCAGTTACCACTTTTCTATTTCTGGAACAGCTTAACAACAAGGAAAAACAACAACAACAAAGCCAACCAACAGACCAAAACAACAGGCGAAACTTTTCTTGCCCCTATGTCTTTGAGCTAGGAAGCCCTCATACAGCTGCTGAAGGTGTAAAAGCCACACCAGAGAGGGGGAAATTTGCAACATTCCTCTTGTGGATTCATTTTGCAAGTTATTTTGGATTGTAATTGCAGATCATTTCTCCATGAAACCTGCAGGTTTGAGAACTAGACTCCGGGCTAGTTTCATTTCATGGCAAAGCTTCTGCGTTGTTGTACAACTGCAGTAAAAATGGTTAAATTGTTGAACATTTCACTGCTGCCTTTTCCCTTGTCCCCCCCCCCCCAACAGCGCCATGATAAATTTCTCATAACCCAGGTACTTTATTCATGGCACTTATCTGTAACTGCAAACATGCATTTCCCCCGCTTTGGGGAAATGAAAACCACAGATATCTGTACATCCCTACGTAATAATTGGCTTGCTATTGAAAACCAAGGCTGGTCCTTTTTATTGGTTTATCCACTTTTTTCCCTTTCTACCTAGTTTTGTACCTAGCTGTGATGGGATGATGAGCTGCTTGTGCGTAAAATCGTATCCCCTCAGAGTTTGTTCAAGTCCACAAACCTCTGTCTGTGACGGAGCCCCTCAGACATGGCTACTCTAGTCACTAGCAGATTCCGACAGTGGTTGCTTTCGTAATCGCTTCCAACATAAAAGCTCCTTAACGGAAACACGTCTTCTGGAATCTCTGCGTGACAGTTTCCGGCGAGGAGTGGGTGTTCTTACAGGAGGTCCTGAAACTTCCCCACTGTTTTCGCTGGAAGTGTCTCTGAGCCATCCCTCCAGCTCAGCTCCTCTCCCCTGCTGGTTCCCTCTTCAGCTGCTGCGTCTCTCCCAACCTGTGTGAGCCCTTTCACCTCCCTGTTGGTTCCCTCTTCAGCTGCTGCGTCTCTCCCAACCTGTGTGAGCCCTTTCACCTCCCTTCCGTCCGATGGCAGTTCCCTGACATCCACCTCCCCTCCAGGGCCCCCTTCACCCCCTCTCGCCCCCTCCTCTACGGGCGGTGAGGAGGCAAACCCCGGAATGAACTTCCTTCATCTTCCGATGTCTCGAACACTTCTCTCAACCTGTTGCGGTTCCTGGTCTCGAAGTACACCTCCTCCTCAGAGTCCATCTCCCCTTCCCCTTCCGAGTCCGGGAATCCTTCCAACTCCTCCCCTTCATCAGTGGTCCCAAAGTATTCCCTCCGGAACCTCTCCACAGGCTGAGGTTTCCTTGGGAACCTTTGATGGAACGTTTCTATCAATACCTCGTCATTGATATCTTCAGCCATTACCCAAGTGTTTTCTGACTCCGGTTCTCCTTCCCACGCTACCAAATACTCCACCTGATCCCCCTTCCACCTGGCGTCGAGGATTTCTGCCACATGGCTGCTGCATTCTCTTTCTTCTACGACCGGTCCCCGAGGGGCCAGCCCTTCTCGTCCCCCTTCGTACGGTGACAGTAACGACCTGTGAAATACTGGGTGCAGTTTCATGTGGTTGGGTAACCGGAGCCTGAAAGCCACTGGGTTGACCTGTTGAATGACCTCAAAGGGACCCAACCTCCTGGGTCTTAATTTCTTACAACCTCCTTTGAACGGCAACCCTTGGGTTGACAGCCACACCCTATCTCCCACCCTTATGGTTTCACCTTCCCTTCGGTTCTTGTCTGCCTGCCTCTTGTATTCTTCCTTCGCCCTTTCTAAGTTGAGTTGGAGCTGACGATGGATTGCTTCCATTTCTTCCACAAAATGCTCGGCTGCCGGGACGCTCCATCTCTCCCCTCTCCCCTGGGAAAGCCCTGGGATGACACCCATAATTAGCCAAGAAGGGGCTCATCCCTGTGGACACATTCTCGGCATTGTTGTAGGCAAATTCCGCCAGCGCCAACTTTTCTACCCAGTCATTCTCTCTGTCATTGACATAACACCTCAGGTATTGCTGGAGGACACCGTTTGCTCTTTCCGCCTGCCCGTTGGTTTCAGGGTGCCGGGCAGTCGAAAAATTGACCTCCACCTGCAGTAAGCTCATGAGCTTCCTCCAGAACCTGGAAGTAAATTGTTTTCCTCGGTCTGAGACCACCCTCAATGGCACCCCGTGCAACCTAAAAATGTTTTCTACAAATAATTTCGCTGTCTCTTCCGCCGTGACTGCATGCGAGCAAGCTACAAAGTGGCACATCTTTGTTAGTAGGTCTACCACCACCATGATGGCTGTTTTCCCTTTGGACTTCGGCAGATCAGTCATAAAATCTATCGACACTGCCTCCCAAGGTCGTTCTGGGGTTGGTAAAGGTTCCTAACAGCCCCGCCGGCGCCCGCCTTTCCCTTTGGCTCGCTGGCATTGCTCGCACCCTCTTACATACTCACGTACATCTTCCCTCACCTTAGGCCACCAAAATTCCCTGGTGACCAACCACATGGTTTTGTGTTGTCCAAAATGCCCCGCCGTAGGGCTGTCGTGCAACTGCTTGAGTACCCTCCCCTTAACTCTCCTTCAGGGATATACAGTGCCCCTTTGTAATACAAAGCTCCATTTCTTTCCTCAAAACCCCTGGTTCCTCTCCATCACCCCTAAGACCTCTGAGCTTATTCTGGGCGTATTCATCATTCTCTGTTTCCTCTACCAGTTCTCTTTGTCCCACCAATGCCGCCCCACACACCCAGCGGTCTTCTGGAATGACATGTCTCTCTTCGGTGCCCCCTTCCTCCAAATATTCAGGTTTGCGTGAGAGAGCGTCCGCCCTAATGTTCTCTGGGCCTGGCACGTAACTAATCTCAAAGTTAAATTTGGAGAACTCCTGGGCCCATCTCACTTGCCGTTGGTTGAGCACTCGTGCCGTCCTCCAATACTCTAGGTTCTTGTGGTCAGTGCACACTTGCACCTTATGTTGTGCGCCAATTAGCAGGTGCCTCCATCTCCGGAACGCCTCATGAATGGCTAGTAGTTCTCGGTCATACACCGTGTAGTTCCTCTCGGATTTGTTCAGCTTTCGCGAAAAAAGGCACACGGTCTCCACTCTGACCCCTTCTTGCCTGGCTGCAGAAGCACCGCCCCAATCGCTCTGTCTGATGCGTCAGTTTCCACTCTCATCGGTTTTTGTAAATCCACATGCAGGAGTTGTTGTTCCGAGGCGAAGGCCCTTTTAGTTCCTCAAATGCTCGCTCCGCCTCCTCAGTCCACACGAACTTCTTCTTACTGCTGAGACAGTCCGTAATGGGCGCCGTCAGGTGGGCAAAGTTTCGGATGAACTTACGATAGAAGTTCCCAAATCCTAGGAACCTCTGCACATCCTTCTTTGTTTTGGGTGTTTTCCATTCCAGCACCGCCTGGACCTTGCCGGGATCCATGGCCAATCCCTTGTCTGACAGGCGATACCCCAGGAATTCCACCTCCTTGGTATGAAACTGACACTTCTCCAGTTTCACCCACAGCTGGTTGGCTTGCAGCCTGCTGAACACTTCTCTGACGTCTCTCACATGCTGCTCCTCATTCTCAGAATACACCAACACGTCGTCTAAAAAGGCCACACAATTCTTGTAAAGCAAAGGCCCCAGGACGTGGTTCATAAACGATTGAAATGTTGCGGAGCCTGCTTGTAGGCCGAAGGGCATAACCAAATATTCAAATGCCCCTAAAGGGGTGAACATAGTGGTTTTCCATTCATCCCCCTTCCTTATTCGTACCAGGTTGTACGCCCCCCTTAGGTCCAGCTTTGTGAAAATCTTTCCCTTCCGCACCCTTGTCAAAATGTCGTCAATCCTGGGCATAGGGAAGGCTACTGGTTCTGACACTGCATTTAAGGCCCTGAAGTCACACACCAGCCTCGGCTTGTTCGTGTTTTTCTTATCCACAAAAACACTGGGCTGCCCCCACCGCCCTGGACTCTCTGATGAACCCTCTCTTCAGGTTCTTGTCAATGAACTCTCTTAACTCCTGCATCTCTCTGTCTGACATGGCGTACAGCTTGCCTACAGGGAGCTGTGCTCCAGGGAGTAAGTTGATTTGACAGTCAAAGGGTCTATGCGGGGTAGTTGGTCAGCTTCCCTTTCGCTGAAGACGTCACGGAGATCTGCATATTGTCGTGGTACCTTCACGTTCTCTGTTACTTCAGTCCCTGCTAGGGTGGCTTGGACCCCTGCCAAACCCTTTCCCTCTTTGCAGTGTTCTAAGCAATGTGCTGAACCAAAAGAAACCACTCTCTGATGCCAGCCCACCAGCGGATCATGTAACGCTAGCCAGCTCATCCCCAATATAATGGGAGCTCCTCCCAAGGTGGCCACATTAAAAGCTATCAGTTCGGTGTGCCTTGCTACCTTCATTATCATTGGGACGGTCTGCAAGCTGACTTCTCCACCCAACAGCTCCCTGCCATCGATCGTGGTCACCTGCAGGGGGCTGCTTAAAGGGATTGTCTGTATCTGGTGTTCAGCTGCAAACTCTTTGCTCATGAAATTGCAGGAGCTGCCTGAGTCCAACAGCGCCTTTATCTTTAGAGGGTGTCCGTTTGGCAGCTCTAGCGTCACTTCTATCACTAGGGCGGGTTTAGGAGGTTCTGGCGTGGGCACTCTCACTGCTCTTTGGCCTGGCTGCTGTGCCCTGACAGTGGCAGCCAGGCGTTGGCTTTACTTGCTCCGGTATATTTTCCTCTCTTCCATCCACAGCTCCTACCATCCCTTGCCATTCTTTCCTCTGAGGGCAGACTCTGGCAAAGTGACCTGGCTGTTGGCAGAGATAGCAT